AAATGCATCCCTCGTCAGCATTCAAAATGAGTGCAGGGCGTTGCATCCGGTCGAAAACCCCTCTAAGAGCCAATTGGGCGAGCCTAAGTTGGAAAGATTTGGCGATCATAACATGAGATTTTCTCATTTAACACTCATTTCTCAAGGCAATAATCAACTATTTTCAGCCATGCACGACGTACGTACTCCTGAAGCAGCCAACGAGGTTAAACTCGGGGCTGCAATTCCTTTTTCAACCCATTTTAGCAAGTAATACAAAGGGAAGCCCTTCCATTTGAAGAGAACAAATCGTTTCCATTTAATCATCCGTAACTGCAGCATCAAATGCCGAAATGCAAGGAGACTGATGAGACTGATATTTACTCATTTAACGAACAGAGTCTATTTTTCGAAACTCTTCGAGAGGGATGGTGGTAGCGGATGGATTTAGAACAGAGTTTTGGGGGGTTTACCCCTCCAGCCAACGCATAACAGCCTGAAAATTGTCATAGATTGCTCTTAAATCAACATATTGTTTGGAAACTCTTACTTTTTTGATAAAAATGACCGAAACATATGAACGCAAAATATGAACGCAAAATATACACATATAAACGTAAATATGCACATGCTGAAAAAAGTGTCAAAACATGCATTTTTATGCATATAAAAAATGACAGAAGTCACTTCCTATACCAATAAGACACGATCCTATCTGGGTCATATGTTCCTAGGAAGCTGCAAAAAAAATATGCATCCCTCGTCACCATTCAAAAAGAGTGCAGGGCGTTGCATCTGGTCGCAAACCGAGCCAATTGAGCGAGCCTAAGTTGGAAAGATTTGGCGATCATAACGAGATTTTCGCAATTGACGCTCATATCTATGAACGAAAATGAGCCCTAAGGTCATACAACTTTTGTAACTTATGGCAAACAAAATGACCATAAAATGGCTGACAGATGTGATCAGCTCAAGGCAACGAGCAACAATTTTCACCCATGCACGACGTACGTTCTCCTGAAGCAGCCAACGAGGCTAAACTCGGGGCTGCAATTCCCTTTTCAACCCATCTTAGCTGGTAGTAACAGAAATTAATCGCAAGTAAATAATCAAGATCAGGTATTTAGGATACTACCGAATCGGTCAGCATTATCGCTTGTCAATTACATATCTGCATCGACGTCAGAAATTCTTCCAACGTTTGAGAAGAAGCATTTAGCTCTGACAACTCTAAACGATAAGAAAATCTTCGTGATTGGTTGGAAGGGACTTCTTGGATATCGGAGTACAGGCCAATGGATTGTAGTCAGCAACCATGCATCCATGCATCTTGGCACTCGTGGAATCGGTCTTCTTATCCTTTTCCGTACGTTAAGTTTCGAAAAAGGTCCGTGAAGATATGAAAATCGCACTTCGAGTTTCGCTTTTCGTACGTTAGCAATGAAATCGGATGTTAAGTTTTGTGAAAAGATTGCAGAGTTCAGGGATTTGTTCAGATTATTTACTTGCGATTAATTTCTGTTACTACCAGCTAAGATGGGTTGAAAAGGGAATTGCAGCCCCGAGTTTAGCCTCGTTGGCTGCTTCAGGAGAACGTACGTCGTGCATGGGTGAAAATTGTTTTGAAAACGGAAGTGTAGTTTTGAGAAACGGACGTTCGCAATTGGGAAAAACTGTAACTAGTCATATGGAGACATTGCCCTGACGACCTAATCACTGGGTTAATTAAGATCATTTTTGGACCATTTTTACCGTCATGTGCATAATCTATCTTGTCCAAGGCTGTTCGCCCAAGCGATCGGGCAACTTTAGGAAGTGGAACTATGGTTATTCTCACTGAACAATTTTAAATGTTCGTATCTCAGGATTTTTTTGACGATTCGATCTACTTTCGCAGAAACAAGGAAAATGGACAGGAGTTTGCGGCATTGAAATATCACGGACAGCCATGCTCTCGTTTAAAGTGTATAAGTCTTTTAAAAGTGGCCGCTAGTTTGCTGGTTAGCGGTTTAGTTCCTTTTGAAATGCATATAACCAAATATTGAGAATATGTTTGCATTGTTCCCTTTAAGGCCCTGATACACGAGGCAAGTCCTTGCTAGCATGCACTTGCCAAGAGACTTGCCTCATGCAAACACCACTTGCTTCGCTCTAGCAAGTCCGAGCAAGTCCCGGCAAGTGATTGCTTCCACTTTCCCCTCGTTCAAAATCCTAAAAGGCTTGTAAGCAAGCCACGCTCTGATTGGTCGGGAAGACCCTGGGGTACCTCGCCTCGGAGGGGGAGGGCGGGGTCCGAAGAATCTCTGTCATTTGGTCGATGGCTCATGGCGGGAAGGAATATTTCAAAGCCTTCTGCTCAGGTCACGTGATCACAGCTCCGCCCCCATATTCATATTCCATCCATATTCGTCTGCTGGTTCTCGCCTTAGGCCGAGCACATACCCGTGCTGTACAGCATGCTGGATGATGCAACTGCATACTGTCCATTGCAACATGCCCATGCTGGATTGGATTTCGCCGCTGCAGTACACGCTGTTCAGCGCGAGTATGAATTCGGCCTTAGCCCGCACGTTTTACACTGCGCCAGGACAGCGTGGTCATGGTGAATTGTTCCTGAATTCTTGTACGCCTATTGGTGCTCTTTCTCAGATAGCTGGCCTGACTGTTAAGGGTAGACTAAATGCCCCATCTACGAGGGGGGGGGGGTCGTTCAAGTTTTGTAGATGTTCGTAGCAAGAGAGGCTCCTTCGGATAGCTCTCGCCCAGTCCTGCCAGAAACCGAGGCATGGATGATTGCCATGTTATTATCAGAAATTGCTCCTCAATGCACCATGAATCCACGTCTAGAAAGAATTTTTATTGGCATCTTGGGTAGTCACTAAATGTCCCAATGGATACGCAGGCAAATGAGAACCTATGGGCTGAGGAATAGTTGGACTTTATGGGAGCAATCACACTCGATTCACTAATCTGCAGCATAGGCCTCGGCAGACACCTGAAATCCTGGAAGCCAGGTATCAGCTGTGACGGCATGGTCTGCTTTTCCTTCCTTTCCCTTGCTAATATTGTCGTGCAAGCCTAATGGGGCAGGTTTATACCTCTTGTTGCATTCCTACAAATGGTAAGTTAATGAGATTCGAAAGAGCAACAATAATCACTCAACTTGGTCTGTAATGCTCCAGACATCATCGTATCGTAGGACACGGTCGAATATTAAGATCGAACAAGAAGCTAGCTAGCTAGAAGTATATTTTCTTCTTGGGTTCTGAATAAAAACCACCTTTAAGCTTCGGTCCTATGGGTTAAGAAACTGCTCAATCTGAGGTCCGGACTTATTAACAGAGCGTTAAAGAACATGGCATTTACCTTCAACTTAGCTCTCAGGCTAACTGAGGAAGAATACAAGTGGTTGTTCTCGATGGTCGTTTGCCATTCGGTAGAAAATTTGGCCCTAGAACCTGTCAAGTAGGCCTAAGAGAAATCAGGTACAATCCACCATGAACGCGCTGTGCTGATCAGAGCAAGACGTGCGGACTAGGGCAATAAAAGCAGACGATGAGAATGGGGGTAGAGCTGTGGTCACTTGACCTGAGAAGAGGCCTTTCAAATATCCCTTCCAGCTCGTGGCGTCCCCACGCACTTGGTAGGAGTGGACTTGGTCTTTGTTCCTTAATGAAAATTGTTTGTCTGAAACGTCCCTTGTGCATTCGAAGTTAAATCAAGGGGATTGCTCTCATAATAGGGTATATCATCATGGCTTCCTTACTCGATCCCTGATGGAGCGGTCGTGGTATTCCTATGTCGTGTGGAGGGCCTCAAAATTGGACTTTTAACGTTAACTTTAGGCCGAAAACAAGAGAACGATAGTTTAGCACGAGCAGTTAATCGGAGGCAAAAGGAAAGGGTCCTGGCCTCACTCCACAGACAGGACAAGCTGTCTAAGGAGACGACTGATGACAAATAATAAAACGGTGTTCAAACAACAAGGACAACAAGTATTTAATTAAAGTTAAATTAAGAGAGAAGAATGAATATCACAGATGTTTCTTGGTGTCTTGAGGAGGTCTCGAGAGTCTTTAGCAAGACGAAAAAAAGCACGGCGTCAGACGAGAGATCGCAGGCACAGCGACAGACGGCAGACAAGCAAAAAGGCTGCAGGCACAGCTGGCTAGAGGGACTGCCCAGGACGAACTCCTTCGACGGACGACATAGGACCACGCACCAGACGGAAAAACGAAAAACGGCGTGACCGGAGGTCACACCCCCAGAAAAACAATGGAGGGCTATGCGGGCCCAACCCTGACATGGGCAGAACCCATGCAGGGCCGCGAAGAAAATAATGTCCCGCAGGAGCCACAAAGCTCTATTAAGGTTATATTCCAATTTTAATAATTTTACTCTGACATACGACACCTACATCATGACATTCTAGAGACAAGGTCGATCACAGAAGCCAGTAATAAGGGCCTCCCTGGCTTCATTGGAGAGATGTGGCGCCATGTCACACAAAATTATGCCTAAGTCGTAGTCTGCAGGTATACAGAGACAAAACCTAGGTCAAGGTCTGTTGGAATACATAGACATTGACCTGCGAAAGATCTCTCTGACATCTAAAGTAGGTGTGAGTTTTCGCTCTTTTCGATTTCGTTTCACAGATGCTTGACAACTTTCGAGCAAGTGGAGGGAAGTCCTCGCAAGAGTCTACTTGCTTCGTGTATACTTTCGCTTGCTCCTTGTTGGAAATGACTTGCTAGCAAGTTCTTGCCTCGTGTATCAGGGCCTTTAAACAAGGTGAAACCACGTTGCAATCACTTGCACCGCACAGTGCTCGCAATCGGTTGGGAATGAACACTTGAGTGCTCCTCCTACTTGTACTCTCTCCTCTTGCCCACCCTTCCTTAGCACAAGCTCAGCTCTTCCACACCCCCTCCTTTAAAAATTTGTCTTAATCTTAATTTGTCTGCATCTTTGAGATCATCGGGATTTCATACCAAATCTCCTTTTGAGTCTGGAACCATAACCCTTACGGTTAGCTGATATGTGCTAATTATGCTGTTATCTTTTATGTCACTGCCCGGGTGACTTGCCGCTACAGCAAGAAGTTGGTTAGGATAAAAATGCCACAAAACTCTCATTTTTGTGGAATGTGTTGTCATCGATCACGAGTTCAATATATCTTTGAGGATTTGAACCCAATGAACTCACTACCATACCGATTAGGACGACTGAAGTCTCTCCATACTCCCATAAAGTATCCACTTCATTAGGTATGGCATGGTATTCCCTAAGAGAAGTTCCCAATAAGATTACAATCTTAACGCCGAATGCCTTACCTACAGTTGCTTATTTGTTCTGGAACGCAAAGTGAGAACACTTGCAGTGTGCGCGTTATTAGGCACTTACTAGCACTTAAGATATCCACGGGAATCACCAACTTTGGTGACACTTGATGAAAGGTTGGACATGAATGAAACCCGTCGATAGACAATCATAGTTGTCATCGAAACATTTAACGATGAAGTACTGTATAAGAAGAGACTTACAGTGATGGTGACATCTTGTCCTAGGTGTCGTGACTAAAGATACAAGACCGAAAGGACCAAGATGTCTCGAGTTGCTGTAGTGAGTTTCATCCAGCCGAATTCTTTGTTCGTCGGTTACACTGATGAGTACCATGAAGTGGTCCTCGGTGATTTTCCTCTCCGTTGTCACAGGTGACGGGGAGTAACAAGGGGATCGGGCTTGAAGTCGTGAGGCAGCTCTGTTCCAAATTCCACGGCTTGGTCTACCTCACTGCCAGGGATGAGGAACGAGGCCGAAAGGCTGTTCAAGAGCTGGAAAAGGTCTGCTGGATCCCAAGTGCCTTCGATCCCTTTCCCTCTTTCTCAAATGGGATTCTCAAACGGAATTTGCATTTGAATGAGACCTGGCAATCCTCTGTTTCGACACCGGGAAATAAGTTCGGAGCAGTCTAGACCAATTCGGGGAAATAAATACACAAACTCCACCTCTTCGCACACTGGAACACAGTCTCCAAGCATTTCGGCTATGTTCTGTGCGTTGTGGAGTCGTCTCGACTGAGTTACCTGCTACTTTCCTCATTACATTAATTGAAAAATGAGAATTAATTTATGAGTTCACTTATCAAACTCTGCTTCATTCTGCAAATGTTAATGGGGTTTCATGTTTTCAGCATTTCCATGTTCCTTCTTCCTCGTGAAATGAACTATGAAATAATTTCTGACTTCAGGAAGGACTGAAACCCTGCTTCCATCAACTGGACATCGACGATCAGAAGAGCATTGAGAAATTGCGAGATTTCCTCCAGGAGAAGCACGGTGGACTGGACCTTCTCGTCAACAATGCGGCTATTGCGTACAAGGTAAGCATTTGGCCAAAATAAAAAAGGGTTTTATTCCTCTTTCATTAGTGAAAATCTGTTTTCATCATGATCATATTTTTAGTAACCCATTTTTAATGTTTCCTCAGAGATTTTCTCAACTTCTTGATAATGAGGTTTTCATCAAATTGATTGAGAAAAGGTCGCCAGCACTCGATGTGGTCAGCTTTAGAAAAATATTTGCATATTTCCTTTCCAATTTTGTAATAGATGCTCTTTCTCAGTTGAATTCTGTTGATTTTCCTGACTTACATTAAGCATTTCTCCCTCTAGTTTCTTTGCTATAATTGCCAGTGAATATGTCTTGACTCAAGCCTAGTCTCATTGCTGCAAGTACCTCACTTGTCCAGAAGAAAACGGAAACTACATAAAAATAGGTCAAAGAGAGAAGTGAAACATTCTCGTTCTCGCCCTCCAAATAAAAATGGGAATAAGGAAGAGGGGGAAGGGGGGAAGAGAGGGAAGTGGGTGGGAGGGGGGGGGAGGGGGAAAGAGGAGGGGGATGGGGGAGGAGCGGTATGGTAAAAGCAAGGACTCGCAAGAGAAGCAGGCAACCATTCAACCATGCACTTACCTTCCAGCTCACATTCGCAGTGACCAGAATGGGTAGTATTGCTGATTGTCCAAGCATGACTTTAGATTTAATTCGGTGAAATATGCCGAGGGAATTATAATTCCAAACTGAGCTTTTAACGGGCTAATGAAACCAAAGAATTCCCTTAACTTTCCTGTCATTCGGGTTTTCCCGCCATCATAACATAACTTAGAGCCTGATCTTTAAGGGCCTTTCTTTTATTCAGAAGACTAAAAACACTGATGCCGCTCTTTAAAAACTCAGCCAAATTTTGACGCCAAGTGTTTGATTTGAAAAAAAAGTTATCACAGATATTGCTAAATCACATGGTCGCACCGTTTACTGGTATTTGCATTTGTAAGAAAAATTGCATCCCCAACCAATAAGCAACTGAGCGTTTATTTTCCTCAGGCAGCATCTACAGCTCCCTTCGGCGAACAGGCAGAGAATACGATTCGTGTGAATTACTTCGGGACTTTGAACGTGTGCAAGGAATTGTTCCCCCTTCTGAGGCCTCATGCCAGGGTCGTCAACTTGACCAGCTATGCCGGATTCCTCCGTAACATCCCAGATGAAGGACTGAAGACGACGCTGGCTTCTCCCGATTTGACAGTTGAAAAACTCTCCTCTCTCATGGAAGACTTTGTCAAGTAAGGATCGGTCTTCAAAGCTCGCAAGGGCAGGAGTGATTTCAACGGAATCCGTACATTTCCTTTCGTCGCGAGTGACCGAATTCTGGGATTGAAAGCGTTTTTAATTCGCAGCTTTTTTTTTGTAGCCCTGCGCACACTTCTCTTGCACCTGATCGTCCGCTCATTGGATTGGGAAAGTATTTGGGTGTTTCTAAATGCCCAGTGCGCCTGGCTCCGGTCGCCTTCATTGCACCGATTCGGTCAACGTTTGGTCGGTGCAAGTGTCACGACCGGCGCTAGCGATACAGTAGCACCTTGCAATCGAGAGTGTAACCTGTCAACGAGAGTAGCACCCTCTCGAATATCGAATCCCTTCAAACTCATGTAGAATTCTCACATGCGCTCATCCAAGCCAAGGCCATGCAGTTGCGCCTTTAATGAACACGATTCCCCGTTGCCACGTGTTCCATATCGCCCAACCGATTGGGAAGTAGTCGCAGCTTTCGACCGTGATACTCGCGCCGACCAAGCACTGAACTGGGAAATGGTTTTCGAGAAAAGGCCTCTGCAGCCAACTCTACAAACGTGTTTTTTCGTTGCCAGTTTTTCCCCAGGTTTCCTCGGGTTTACAGCTTCTCTAGACGCGTAGAGGCTAGGCTATCGTCTGGAATAAGAACCCTCAATTGACAGAATTCGGTCCAATTTACTTCACAAGAGAATTTCTGGACAAAAAGGGTTTCATTGCATCGGAAGCCTCAGCCTCCCGGCGCAACAAAATAACTTCTTTGTCCTTTTTCCTATGTTTACCTTCAAAACGCGGATGCTCAGGAGGGCGAAGGAAGGAAAGCACGGCGAAGGAGGATGGCCTAACAGCTGCTATGTCGTCTCCAAAGTGGGTGTGAGTGCTCTCTCGCGGATCCAGCAGAGGGAATTCCTCCAGGATTCTCGGGTCGACCTCGTCGTCAACCACGTCCATCCCGGTTACGTGGATACCGACATGACCTCTCACAAAGGACCTCTCACCGTCCAGCAAGGTCTCATTCCCTTTATCATTCTCCTCGGAGAAACGATATCTCGCATTCGCGGTGGTAGACATGCGAAATTGGTCTATTAGGATGCTTTCATTCTGGTCGCGTACGAGTTTTAAATTCCTGGATCTGGTGCAAATCCGGCAAGGACATTCAGTAGATATGAAAAAAAAATCGCGGTACGCACTCACAGTCACATGTGCGCTCCTCTCAATAATTTTTGTGGAGTGTTCCGTGCGGCAAGATAATGACTGGAAGTTCCTCTCATATGGAAACGTTAGTCCAAATCGGATGTTTAGAATAGTCTCTATGGATATACGTTATATACAAGTTGCTCAATACAGACTAATAAGAATTCCCCGGCCATTGCTTTTTAGGTGAAAGCAAGATATTGCTAAAATTCAGATATTATGTAAATTTTTTAAATATATATATTTATATTTTTCTAATAGTATAATTCTTCTATTAAATCATGATGCAAGTGCAAAGAATATGAAATATAAGAAAAACTCATGAAGATCGACTAAATGGGAACATAAGACCGTCACAGCCACCTAAACAACCAGTGCCTAAGCCGATATTGCATGAGCCACTGCTGGTCAGTGTGGTAAGCGGGTGCACGCGAGCTAAATCATTTCATTTCCAGCTGTACGACTCCAGGATAAACATTGTTGCTCTCGAAGTATAAGAATGTGAATAAAAATGTAGGGCTTCATCCTTTCTTCTTTCCTTTTGTTATGAAGGTGCCGTATCGTCAGTGTACGCGGCTCTCCTGCCTCCAAACATCGAAGAGCCAAAAGGAGCATACATCTGGCACGACAAACAGATAGTGGACTGGGTGAACGGGCCACTCCCCTCCGCTCATTAAGCGAAGGGAATTCCCGCCGCGATATTCACTGGGTCCACACCTGTCACCTTCCCTCTTACAATAAATAGTTTGGGATTTAGGAATGTTGGGTGTGATTACAAAGAGGAAATGGCGTAAGTATTGCTCCATCTTTCACTTTCACGCGGGCGACAATTACGTAACAAAAAGTAATGGATTTTACGAACTAGAAGAGTCATTTCCCTTTTGTTCTCGAATCTGTGCAGGACGCTTTTCAGTTAAATTTCTTCTATGGAAAAAAACAGAAAAAAGGTATCCAAGAGAGAGACATTTCTCCTCTTTGCCATCATGTCTTCTTTTCTCTTTATTCTTTGTGCTGCAATGCGCACAACGTCTGTATGTTGGGACTACTTCTGGTAGATGAGATCCAACATTTACCAGTCTCACAGTATTTGTAACAGTTTTCGTCCCAGATGGACTGTTTCGCTTTCTTGCGTGACCACTCATTGGAGCAGGGCCTCTCCTTTTCTTATTAGAGAAGGTCCCAATCAGCTCATTCACCAGTGTCGAACGAAAATTAAGGTGGCTCATGTGGTTTCCTTTTCGTGCTTTTACTGTCTCCATATGCAGAATAAAGCTATTTACTATCACACAATCTAGGAAATAATAAAACAGTTTTACCCACCATCTCCTTGACTTTTGACATACACTGTAAGCTGCTAGGTACTGATCAAATCTATCTACTCCACCCATATATTTATTATAGTCTGCAACTGATTGAGGGCACCTCACTTCTTCGCGTATTCCTTTTGAATTTCTACGCAACACAGTTGTGTGAGAAGGGTCATGCATGTTGCTCAGTACACTTACAGACTTCTTTGCACGGTCTAGCCATTTAGTAACACTGATAACTCCAGTCTGAGCGAAATCACTGTCGGCTTTCCTCATCTCTGAATCTTTCTTTAGCGTATCACTAGGATAATGTTTCCTGTCAATTCTTATTGTTCCACAAGCAAATAAACCTTTTCTTAGCAACAAAGACATGAGGGGGACACTTGTGAAGAAGTTATCAAAAAATAGACAATAACACAGCCCTTCAAGAGCTTTAGAAAGTCTGAGGACCACATTCTCTCCCAGATTCAATGTCACAGCACTATCTCTATCTCACCAGTGTACACCTCGAATGATAACATATATCCAGTAAGAGCACAGCATAAGATCCAAACTTTCAAGCCTCGTTTTATTGGCTTTAGGGGCATGTATTGCTTCATGGTTGATCTGCCTTTGAATGCCACCATGCTCTCATCTACTGAGACGAACCGGGAAGGGGTGAAGGCGGACACAAATGTATTCTTGAGGTGCTCTAAGAGTGGACGTATTTTATACAAGCGATCAAAATTGGAAGTCCCTCTGATTGGCATCTTAGAGTTGTCAGCCAGATGTATCTATAAGTATCGAACAACATTTAGGAAACGCCTCAGAGGCATCACGCGTGCAATCCTCTCCACTTGGAAATTTTCATCCATAGACCAGTATAGTCTCATACTTGGTAGTGGATGAAGACCCATGAATACAATTATCCCCAGTACAGCTTTGAGCTCATCCAGTGTAAATTCCAATTCTTTCCCACACTGTTGTGCATACAAGTTAGATTGGCTTACAATTTCTAGAAGAAATATCTCAGTCAGCAGCAGCAGAAAGAATTGGATTTGACTATATACATTGTCTGGAGTTTTCTAAAGTCCAGATGGTTGTGAAAATACACTATTTTTATACAAGTCAGGTTCTTTTGCATCTTTACTCCAGGTGTATGAAACTGATACATTCGCCTGATCCTCAACATGTTCATCAGAGTTATCACTACCACTAGTTTTGGCATGGGTTGAAGGGTGGTAGTCAGTGTCGCTATCAGCATCATCTGATTCATGTTCCAAGCATACATGTCCGTGGCTGTGTGCTCCGAGATTTCTTCCCAAAGTTATAGAACTGTCATTTTCCTCATGATACTGACAAGATTTCATCAAATTAGATGGAACATCATCTTGGCAACTTTTCCCTTGTGTTGAACTCCAGTTGCTGCTAGGTGTTTCACTGGGTAAGTTGTCGTCTGCATTTGAATCACCTCCAACATCAGAACTAACAGCTTGCTCTTCATCAATTTCAGCTCCTTCAAGAAGCTTCATTACATCTGCTTGTCTGAATGTCATTTTTCTGTCAGCTGTAAGCAAAAGTATTAATACAAGAGAAAAAGGGTTCAAATAATTTTTTTTCCGCTTTGCCGAAAAATAGTTACCAACCTAGAACATTTAAGAATCATGAGCAATGCAATGATTGAGTCGCAGAAAAGCTTAAAGTTAAAGACCAAATGACAAAAAATTCCATCTGGAATGGCTATGACAGGGCTATACTGTAAACAAATTTTTGCAATACATATCTCAAACATGTCTGAGATACAAAGTGCATAGGGCAAATACAACTCCTGTATGATGAGCGTACATAGAACTCAATGATATGATGGGGCTGGGAGCAGGATATGCCATTGAGATTAAGAATTTAATTATAGTTACACGCAGAAATACTTTTTTCATCTCACTCATGATGATTTGAAATGAGAATGTTTTAGTCTAATAAATCGGGAATTTTCCAAGATATAGGTTCTATCTCTTTTGGAAATCACAAGAAACTGGTTTTGCTGTGTAATAATGGTAAGTGAGAAATATTCTCACTTAATAGTCACACTGAAATGTGACTATTAAGTCATATTTCAATCAACTATGGAAATATCGTGTTTCCGTCATGACAGGGCTATAATGCAATTCCTCGCATTAGCGAGAAAGGGATGCCCCGCTGCGTACATGTGAGATGGGAGGTGGGAAACTATTATGCCAGTGACCTATAAAGGGTTAACGAGTTCACGAATAATCTGAGCTTAAAAATCCGCCAAAGGAAAATATGGAGTTAACTGCCGCAACTGCCCATTGGAAGTCCTCGAGTAGCGGAGGTCCGCTTTCCCAATCTCTTCTTGTCACGTCGTAAATTTCCATCACTCCACACCCTGTAACGAAAAGCTTTCTATCCACTGCTGCGAAAGACCTAACGAAGTTGGTATCATATGAATAGAGATAATCGGTGTGAACTTGGAAAGACCAGTCCTGGAGAAATATGGACATGATCTTAGCTGCATCTTCATGTCTTCACAAGCACCAGAATGTACTAGGAAATCGGTAGAATCCAGTGCCCCTTGTCTTGATTTTCGCCTCGGGGACAGTGTCACGTAGGTGTGGATGGTGTAAGTCCTTTTCTTTCATCACGTGAGTCAGACACTGGGGATCCCCTGCGATCACAGGATCACGAATGAGATTCTGATGCAAGTAACGCAAGGGCAGGAGCGGAAGTCTCACCAGGTTCAACATTTCTCGCCTGAGTCTGTTTCTCCCAGGATCGTGATTGAGCCATCTCTTAACCGCTGCGTGAACGTCGATTTCAGAAGAAACTTCCAGGTCGTCTCTCCCAAGAAATATTTGCAACTTCTCGATGGACATGCAGACAAATTCCTTAGCATGAATGACTTCTTGGAACCTTCGAGCTATTGAATCCAAGGCTGCATCCTGCAATTGTTTCATCCCGAGATTTTCAGCAACGGAATGTTAAATGCATTTTCTATTCTCAACATGTTCTTCAGTTTCTGATCGTATTCTTCATATAGGAGGTGGCTCCGGAGAAAATGCGAGTCTTTGATGGCGGCCAGAGCGATGCTTTCGTCTTCCGTTCCGTATGTCTCATCGTAAATGAAGTCCCAGATCACTTGGAACCCTTCCAGAGATATATCCTTTAAAGTAACCATATAATTCACAGATATGTTTTTGCCAAGGAACATCCTTTTCGATACGGGTGATACGGGTCCCTAGAACGAAGCGACTTCTAAAGAACGAGACATCTGGGAGCGTTCAACTAGAGGTGAGCAGACTCCGCATGAGAGGTTCCCAAATTAAACTGGTACACGAAATGAAGTTGATCTGCTAGAGGGACGGAAGATAGGTCTTTGGAATATATCTTGTCTCTTATCAGGGAATATGACATGTTCAGCCGTATACACTGCCGTGTACGCAATTCCAGCAGGTTGTCCACTTCAAAAAGTTCGCCAAATTTTGTTATTCCAATATGGTAAGGATAGAGTCCACCCTCGTTCTTACAGGATTAATTCCATAGCGTCGGATGAGGGAGGGGGGCGAATCAATAAGGTTTCGGTTGTGGTTGGACTGCACGAGGTTTGAACTTCAACAATAACGTCCCTTGAAAGTTCAAGAACTTCAATGCTGATTTCAGTTAGTGGGATTATGTCTTGTGCACATCAACAAAGCTGCCCTTTCCGTATGGACATCACTCACTCGTCCAATCCATCGTGCAAACCCTCTCACACGTCTCCAAAGCAAGACTTGACACACGTTGCCAATCGGTCCCATCGTACACTTCTATCGAGGGAGTATTCCTTCCACCGACGGCATATAGCTTCCCATCGATAGAAATGAGGCCGTGATTATACCGCTTCTCAATCATGGGAGGCAGCTGGCGCCATTCGTTCTTCCTTCCGTCATACACATATACGTCTGATAGCACTGGAACGCCTCCGTTTCCACCTCCAGCAACATGCATCTCATCATTGTGGACGGCTATTCCGGGACAATTCTGACCTCCCGGCCATTTTGACAGCTTACTCCACGTCTTCGACCTCGTGTCCAGCCTCTCGTGATTCTTTTCAGTGGGCACCCCTCCAATAACATGGAGACAGGAATCCAGGAAAATAGCCGATTGTGCACAATGCTTGTACTTCATATCCGGTGCCTTGATCCAACCCCACGATCCCAGATCATATTGACTGACGGAATTTGAGTATTTGGTAGTATTTGAGCTGAACATTCCACCACACGAAAAGATGGAGTTGAGTCCAAAGGCCGACGCTGCCCAGTAGACGTTCTCTAGCGGCGGAGGTCCGATTTCCCAAACTTTCCTGGTCACTTCATAAATATTCATCACCCCACACCCCGTAACGAAAAGCTTCCTATCCACTGCTGCGAAAGACCTAACGAAGTTGAGATCATATGAATAGGGATAATCGGTGTGAACTTGGAAAGACCAGTCCTGGGGACATAGGGACATGATATTAGTTGCATCTTCATGTCTTCCCAAGCACCAGAATGTACTAGGATATCGGTAGAATCCAGTGCCTCTTGTCCTGGTCTTTGCCTCAGGGACAGTGTCACGTAGGTCCGGGTGATGGAAATCCTTC